ACCCAAAAAATGATGTGCTATAGCATACGAAAATCGTCGAAATGAGGGGTATGCTCGCTTCGGGGCTCGTTTGACCTTCCAAATGGGTCGGACAAGCCGTGATGGCCAACCGTATGCATAGACAAGGTCTGGACGTACTTCCATGAAAAAATTTGGCATTTTTGACGTCGGAATCCGGATCACCCAAAAAAGGTGTGCTATAGCACACGAGAATTGTCGAAATGAGGGGTATGCTCGCTTCGGGGCTCGTTTGACCTTCCAAATGGGTCGGACAAGCCGTGATGGCCAACCGTATGCATAGACAAGGTCTTGACGGACGTCCACGAAAAAATTTGGAATGTTTGACATCGGAATCCGGATCACCCGAAAAATCGTGTGCTATAGCACACAAAAATCGTCGAAATTGGGGCTATGCTCGCTTCGGGGCTCGTTTGACCTTCCAAATGGGTCGAACAAGCCGTGATGGCCAACCGTATGCATAGACAAGGTCTTGTTTGACGTCCACGAAAAAATTTGGCATTTTTTACATCGGAATCTTGATCACCCAAAAAATCGTGTGCTATAGCACACGAAAATCCTCGAAATGAGGGGTATGCTCGCTTCGGGGCTCGTTTGACCTTCCAAATGGGTCGTACAAGCCATGATGGTCAACCTTATGCATAGACAAGGTCTTAACGGACGTCCACGAAAAAACTTGGCATTTTTGACGTCGGAATCTGAATCACCCAAAAAATCGTGTGCTATAGCACACGAAAATCATCGAAATGAGGGGTATGCTCGCTTCGGGGCTCTTTTGACCTTCCAAATGGGTCGGATAAGCCGTGCTGGCTAACTGTATGCATAGACAAGGTCTTCACGGACGTCCACGAAAAAATTTGGAATTTTTGACGTCGAAATCCGGATCACCCAAAAAATCGTGTGCTATAGCACACGAAAATCGTTGAAATGAGGGGTATGCTCGCTTCGGGGCTCGTTTGACCTTCCAAATGGGTTAGATAAGCCGTGATGGCCAACCATATGCATAGACAAGGTCTTGATGGACGTCTACGAAAAAATTTGGCATTTTTAACGTCGGAATTAGGATCACCCAAAAAATCGTGTGCTATAGCACACAAAAATCGTCGAAATGAGGGGTATGCTCGCTTCGGGGCTCGTTTTACCTTCCAAACGGGTCGAAAAAGCCGTAATGGCCAACCGTATGCATAGAAAAGGTCTTGACGGACGTCCACGAAAAAATTTGGCATTTTTGACATCGGAATCCGGATCACCCAAAAAGTGGTGTGCTATAGCACAAGAAAATCGTCAAAATGAGGGGTATGCTCGTTTCGGGGCTCGTTTGACCTTTCAAATGGGTCGGACAAGCCGTGATGGCCAACCGTATGCATAGACAAGGTCTTGACAGATGTTCACGTAAAAATTTGGCATTTTTGACGTCGAAATCCGGATCACCCAAAAAATGGTGTGCTATAGCACACAAAAATCGTCGAAATGAGGGGTATGCTCGCTTTGGGCTCATTTGAACTTCCAAATGGGTCGGACAAGCCGTGATGGCCAACCGTATGCATAAACAAGGTCTTGAAGGACGTCCACGAAAAAATTTGGCATTTTTGACGTCGGAATCCGGATCACCCAAAAAATGGTGTACTATAGCACACGAAAATCGTCGAAATGAGGGATATGCTCGCTTCGGGCTCGTTTGACCTTCCAAATGGGTCGGACAAGCCGTGATGGCCAACCGTATGCATAAACAAGGTCTTGACGGACGTCCACTAAAAAATTTGACATTTTTGACGTCGCAATCCGGATCACCCAAAAAATAGTGTGCTATAGCACACGAAAATCGTCGAAATGAGGAGTATGCTCGCTTGGGGGCTCGGTTGACCCTTTAAATGGGTCGGACAAGCCGTGATGGCCAACCGTATACATAGACAAGGTCTTGACGGACGTCCACGAAAATATTTGGCATTTTTGACGTCGGAATCCGGATCACTCAAAAAATGGTGTGCAATAGCACACAAAAATCGTCGAAATGAGTGGTATGCTCACTATGGGGCTTGTTTGACCTTTTAAATGGATCAGAAAAGTCGTGATGGACAACCGTATGCATAGACAAGGTCTTGACGGACGTCCACAAAAAAATTTGGCATTATTGACGTCGGAATCCAGATCACCCAAAAAATCGTGTGCTATAGCACACGAAAATCGTCGAAATAAGGGGTATGCTCGCTTCGGGGCTCTTTTGACCTTCCAAATGGGTCGTACAAGCGGTGATGGCCAACCGTATGCATTGCTAAGGTCTTGACGGACGTCCACGAAAAAGTTTGGCATTTTTGACATCGGAATCCGGATCACCCAAAAAATAGTGTGCTATAGCATACGAAAATCGTCGAAATGAGGGGTATGCTCGCTTCGGGGCTCGTTTGACCTTTCAAATGGGTTGAACAAGCCGTGATGGCCAACCGTATGCATAGACAAGGTCTTGACGGACGTCCACAAAAAAATTTGGCATTTTGACGTCGGAATCCGGATCACCCAAAAAATGGTGTGCTATAGCATACGAAAATCGTCGAAATGAGGGGTATGCTCGCTTCGGGGCTCGTTTGACCTTCCAAATGGGTCGGACAAGCCGTGATGGCCAACCGTATGCATAGACAAGGTCTTGACGGACGTCCACGAAAATATTTGGCATTTTTGACGTCGGAATCCGGATCACCCAAAAAATGGTGTGCTATAGCACACGAAATCCGTCGAAATGAGGGGTATGCTCGCTTCGGGGCTCGTTTGACCTTCCAAATGGGTCGGACAAGCCGTGACGGCTAACCGTATGCATAAAGAAGGTCTTGACGGACGTCCACGAAAAAATTTGGCATTTTTTACGTCGGAATCTTGATCACCCAAAAAATGGTGTGCTATAGCACACGGAAATCGTTGAAATGAGGGGTATGCTCGCTTCGGTGCTCGTTTGACCTTCCAAATGGGTCGTGTAAGCCGTGATGGCCAATCGTATGCATCGAAAAGGTCTTGACGGACGTCCATGAAATTTTTTTGCATTTTTTACGTCAGAATCCGGATCACCCAAAAAATGGTGTGCTATAGCACATGAAAATCATCGAAATGAGGGGTATGCTCGCTTCGGGGCTCGTTTAACCTTCCAAATGGGTCGGACAAGCCGTGATGGCCAACCGTATGCATAGACAAGGTCTTGACGGACGTCCACGAAAAAATTTGGCATTTTTTACGTCGGAATCCGGATCACCCAAAAAATGGTGTGGTATAGCACACGAAATTCGTCGAAATGAAGGGTTTGCTCGCTTCGGGGCTCGTTTGACCTTCCAAATGGATCGGACAAACCGTGATGGCCAACCGTATACATAGACAAGGTCTTGACGGACGTCCACGAAAAAATTTGACATTTTTTACGTCGGAATTCGGATCATCCAAAAAATGGTGTGCTATAGCGCACGAAAATCGTCGAAATGAGGGGTATGCTCGCTTCGGGGCTTGTTTGACCTTCCAAATGGTTCAGACAAGCCGTGATGGCCAACCGTATGCATAGACAAGGTCTTGACGGACGTCCACGAAAAAATTTGGCATTTTTGACGTCGAAATTCGGATCACCCAAAAAATGGTGTGCTATACCACACGAAAATCGTCGAAATGAGGGGTATGCTCGCTTCGGGGCTCGTTTGACCTTCCAAATGGTTCGGACAATCCGTGATGGCCAACCGTATGCATAGACAAGGTCTTGACGGACGTCCACGAAAAAATTTGGCATTTTTTACGTCGGAATCCGGATCACCCAAAAAATGGTGTGGTATAGCACACGAAATTCGTCGAAATGAAGGGTTTGCTCGCTTCGGGGCTCGTTTGACCTTCCAAATGGATCGGACAAACCGTGATGGCCAACCGTATACATATATTATACATGTATATACATATATTATACATGTATATACATTTATTACACATGAGCATACACATATTATTTGGTAATTTGGGGGTCAACATAGTCGGTTGACTAATTTTCAAAAAATCATGGACTAACACACATTAAAAGTTAAAATCATCAAAATTTTAAATTTTTATATCAGCAGGCCACTAAGCAACATTAAGATTCGAGATTTTATGAGATTAGTTGAAAGGGAATAAAAGAAAATACTATACTAATTAAGAGTAATCATTAGCTTGCTATTTAATTATAGTGATGGATTTTTGTTAGCTGTCATTTCTTGTTGATTTATAGTTTAGTAGATCTTCATGATATATTAGAAAGAAAGGAACAAAAAAAATGAGAAAACACTGTAACAAAAATTAATTTTTAGCGGTATTAAATATTGACACTAATAAAGAGTGCTAACGTTTTTATCAACATTAGTGAAGTGTCATTAGAACCAATGTCAACTAAAGACATACAAAGAATGACAATTGCCGCTAAAAATACGTGTTTAGCGGCAATTAAGAATTAAATATCGCTAATGATTATTTTTGTTATAGTGAAACTCGAGTAATTTTGTACAATCTCAAAAACATTATTCAATTATCAGGGATTTCAAAAATTAGCTCTAGTATTAGGCTTGAAAATAGTTCAAATATAGGCTAAATAGAATGTGTCAAAGTTTCGGAGGACCTTTGTGCTCAAATAAAACAGAAAAAAAATCAGTTAATTGACTATCTGAATTTTCACTTTGTTGGTGATGGTTCGATTCTCCCCGCTTCGTTTCCCCATACCCTACTCCCAATTATTTTTTTTAAGAAAAAAATAAATAAATACCAAATGAGTACTTACCTACACATATAGGAAACTCCCTTTCATTATCTAAAACTTTTATATTTATTTCTTTTAAGGAAAATGCTCTCCATGACATATAGAATCCTCCCAAAAAATATTTAAGAAAATAGTGTGGTGGTACCCTTCCATGCAACTTCCAGGAAATGTTATTTGCCATCAACCATAATTCTATCCTTCCTTTACGATTTTGCATCTTCTTGGACTCTTTCCACCAAAATTTCCTCTCTTATCTATATATACAAATATCCCTTTGAACTCATCACAATTCATCCATCTTGAGTAGTTTAACTACATCCAATAATACTTTTTGATTCAATAGAGGCATAAAGAGGTTCAACTCCATACCTTTCTTTGAAAAATTATATCGTGTAAAGAAGGTATCAAGTTCAAATCCTAGTAGTTGCAACTTGCATTGTTACATTATTATTTTTTAAATCCCTAGTTAAGATTCATAATTTCTAGTCTATTAAGGGCAAGAAGGGGATTTATTCTTTCGTTGAAAAATTGTACTAGTGAAAGAGAGCCTCGCGTTCACATCCCAGGTTGACAAAATTTCTGGCTCCACCACTGGTCTGATCATATCAATAATGGCTCATGCATTGGGGCACGACGTGGTGTTTGAGGATTTTTTCCCTTCTATGGTGGAGAAACTTGGAGGTGAGGGATTCTTGAAGGAGCTAAGCAATGGATTTAGGGTTCTAATGGATGAGGAGAAGGAAGTCATAACATTTGAGAGTTTGAAGAAGAATTCAGAGTTGTTGGGATTGAAGGGTAATATGAGTGATGATGAGTTGATGTGCATGTTGAGTGAAGGTGACTTAGATGGTGATGGTTGTTTGAATGAAATGGAGTTTTGTGTATTAATGGTACGTTTAAGTCCTGATTTAATGGACATTTCAAGAATGTGGTTGGAGGAAACTCTTGCTAAGTTGTAATTAGAGCTTTAATTAATTAATTAATCCCTTTGAGATGATCATTCTTGTTATTTAATTTCATTCCTTTAGTAATTGTTCAATTCTTTTTTTTCTACTCGGTGGTTGATATTTGGTATTTGTTTGTCTCAGACCTCAATAATTTGGATTAGCATAGAAAAGTCTTATTTTGATGGTTAATTTGAGGTACTCAATATCGAGTAAATCGATGAACTGAGATGAAGCTGCTCTAATATCATGTTAACGTATTAAATTGAATCAAAATGTGGTGATCGAATAGATATCGCCGCGAAGGGGAAATAAATAAATATATATATATATATATATATATATATATATATATATATATATATATATTAGCCTTATTTATTTATATATAAAAACAAGTAGGCTAACTAAGACCAAAAAATGAACTAGAGACTAACTAATGCAAATTGGACTATAAATGGAATCTTGTCCTTTAGGTGGGCTTTCACACAATTGGGCTTTTGGATAATTTTGAGGTTCCAATGGGCCAAGTACTCGAATATCCATTTTAGGGGCCTCTAGTTTTACTTGAGCCCGCTTTTCAACAAGGGTCTTTCGCAAATAGCCACTATAATAAATTTAATTATGCCTATAGATATAGTTTACATATTTGACCGTTGTAGCTACGGTTTAAGTTGTCTAATTTGTATAATTCACACATTTGCGGGTACATTTGTATAATTTAGTTATTTTTGTATAAACTCGAAATAACGAATTTATATGATTACTATCAGAAGTGAAAACAATTATACAAATTTCGAATTATATACAAAAGTTATACAATTATATTGTAAAAAATTATGAGTTGTACAAACGAATGAATTATACAAAACCAAAAGGCTGAGCCGCATAATTATAACTAAAAGTAGGTTACGAATTATAATTTAGACAAATTATAGTTATGTTAATTAACTAACTAGTATATGTTTACTTATATGCCTTATTTTTCTTTTTCGAGTATTCTTTGTAAGTTAAACTATTTTAATTTTCCTTGACTAGTTAAGACTAACTTTATATATATATATATATATATATATATATATATATATATATATATATATATATATATATATATATATATTGACTAACAAATTATGTAGAAAAACAAATGATACTAAATATATGATGTGACATTTTATCATATTATAAATTTAAATTGTTCCACAAGAACTTCAAAATGTTCATAATCGAAAGGGAAATTTAAAAAGTCAAGCGGACAAGATCCAATAGTTCAAGATTTTGAGCACCAAATGAGGGGTAAAACCTATATTGTCGTATTTGTGTTAGATTTTTTATAAATATATACTCTTTACAAATATAAAAGTATACGCTCTTTATATATACTCTTTTCATTTCAAATAGTTTTTGCCGATTTTGACTTAGTAACATTTATGAAAATAAAGAAGATTTCAAGAATTTATGTGATTGAGTGGTTTAATTGAGTTCGATTTCATATTATTATATAAAAAAAGTTTAATGTATATTTCTGAAAAATCGACCATATTTCATTGGTTTTGACCTTTAGGATTATAATCTAGTAGCTGATTTTCAATTAGCAGCCATACAATTTGTAGCTATTTGTCAATTCTATTCCAAATTTTATCATTTTACCTACAAGAACAAGACATTTTTACTATAGGTTAAAAAGTTGATATTCACAATAGAAACTATTTTTAGAAATATTATTTCCTCTAAGGTACAATGAATATATCTAAACTTTTCAAATAAACAAATAATTCATTTGTGGAAAGTTTAGTACAAGGAACGTGCTTAAAAAGGGTCAAAGAGGAAAAATATGAGCATATAGGAATAGTCCATTACACACTCAACCACTCTTAATAAAATCATATCTATTAGCAAAAAATTGTGTGTTCAAACGTTGACCTATTAACACGAGTTGATTCAGAATTTAAAGTTTATAAATTTTTCTATTAATCTCAATATCAACCCTTGTCTATAGGGGCCAATGCAAAATCGATATCAAGTTCATTAGATATTCAGTATTTTTTATGTGGAACAAAAACTTATGTGTAAGAATCTATAAAACTTACGACAAATAATATGTATGAACCTTGGATTATAAAATGGGGTTCAATATTAATCATTGAATTCATAGGTTTAAATTTTGAATTTGTCTATGTCGGTATGCGCTACGGGCAATCCGAATTTCAAACTCAGCCACTCTTCATATAATCATATATTTACAAGCAAAATAACGTAGCCAGAAATTGATCTATACGTGAAGGCAGATTCAGAATTTGAAGTTTAAAGATTTTTATATCTACCTCAAATTAATTAAAAGAAAATATTAATAACAGATTCACAGTCAAATACTTATTGTATTTAGTAAATATTTTAATACATATATATAAAACTAATCTAAATAAAGCTACTGAATTAACGTGAATCTGTAAACGACCCCCTAAAACCACCCATGCGTATAGGATATGTGTATTACAAACCTAACCACTCTCATTAAAGTCTTTTTCTTGCAATATCATGTTACCCAAAAATTGACCTATAGGCAATCTAAATTTCCTATTTAAAGGAGCCCAAAGTACACAACAAAATCATCCCAAAAAAAAAAAAGCAAAGTTATTTCCAATAGAAGTCTTTTAGTTATTTGATCAATTGTATATCAATTAATCAAAAATGGCTTTTGGTGCAACTCATTTGAGCTTGGCATTTTGCCTTATGGCTCTAATTGTTCTTGTAAAAGCAGATTTTTATGGTAACAAAGAGCCAATTAACAATATTTTGGAGAAAAATTCAGAAATGTTAACTCAAGATTTTTGTATTTTCGCGGCGGTTGGATCTGTTGTGACGGAAGCTATTGCAAGGGAGAGGCGAATGGGAGCGTCTCTCATTCGCCTCTTCTTCCACGACTGCTTTGTCGATGTAAGTTCTTCATCATCTTTCAAAGATTATATTGATCACTCGTTCCGTTTCAATTTTGTATAACTTTTATTTTTTACTAAACATGAAATTTTATGGAGTACTTCATAAGCTCATAACTATTTGTTTAATTAATTAATTACCTTATCTTCTAGTATAGTACACATTAATGTTTGTTGGCCTAACATTATATTAATTTGTGTGTGATTTTATTTAATTAGGGATGTGATGCTGGAATTCTTCTAGATGATATTCCTGGAAGGTTCCAAGGAGAAAAAACATCACCACCAAATAATAATTCAGTGAGAGGTTATCAAGTAATTGATCAAGCTAAACAAAGGATTAAAACTATGTGCCCTGGGGCTGCTGTTTCTTGCGCTGATATTCTTGCCCTTGCTGCTCGTGACTCTGTTGCTATGGTAAGTTTATTATCATCGAGTTTAAGTATTATGTACTCGTTCAATTTAAAAATCACACGATTTAAAAGTCATGATCTTCATATTTATAATATTCAGTCAAATTAAGATACACAAAATAAAACAAAGGGAATTTATCTATATAATTGATGCAATTACGTTATGTATAGGATAATTACAAGTGATTTGTGTTACAAACGTAAACTGATAACCTGATAATGTATAATAACTAACATGTTATAATAGATTAATTAAATTATATATACTAACATTATCGATGTATATAACTTAAATTCTACTAGAATATGATATATGTGTCATAATTAAGAAGTATCATCAATGTGTCAACATTTTTCCTTTATAACACTTGTCTACAACTAGCATACATTGAATTAAAGTAGGTGTTAGTGGGTGTGGTGAAGCCAATTGTATAATAAAATAAATAAATAATGCACATTTACCTACTCCAAGAAGAAATAAAATAACAAATTAAACTTGTGCAAGTCACAAGCAGCCCATTATCTTTTAATTTTAACCAAATGTCAAAATCTTTGCCTAAATTTTCTTCATTTCAAAAGTGGACACACAATTTCTTGATGTTGATTTATAGTGTTCTTATCTTCAAAATCAATTTCTTTTAGAGATATAATTAATTCATATAATTTAATTACAACAACCATTTTCATGTTATATTTATAGTTCAACTACTTGGAGAAGAATATTTCCTCAATTGGAAATACCATATCTTACTTATCAAACAATTACAAATACTTCTCCGTTCATTTTTACTTATTTATATTTGACTTAACACGCCTTTTTTAAAAATAATGAATAAAAAAATAATTTTATCATACGATCACCCGCAATTATAAGTAATTTAAATATTGAAAATGACGAATATCTAATAGCAGTGATAAAATAGACACAAAATAATAAAATTTTCCGAACTAAACAAGTTAAGTTAGACAACTATATAGTCTCTTCATTTAGACTCATTTTTAATATATTATTGCATATATGCCCTCCATTACTATAAATTAAGTCTATACATTAGATGCACCTTATGCTAGATAATTTTTTATATCGCTCTATTTAAGCTCATTTCATATCAACAGTTAGGGGGAATTCCATACCCTGTGAGTCTAGGCCGGAGAGATGCAAGGACCGCGAATTTCACCGGGGCGTTAACTCAACTTCCAGCCCCATTCGACGATCTCAACGTCCAATTAAAAAAATTCAGCAATAAGGGAATGTCTCCTCGGGAAATGGTTGCGTTAGTCGGGTCCCACACAGTAGGATTTGCACGATGTGTGACATTATGTGACGACAGAAACATCAACCCGGCCATGAAATCAACACTAAAATGCGGTTGCCCTGTTAGTAACAATAACACAAACTTAGTACCATTGGATTTAATGACTCCTGATTTTTTCGATAAGTTTTATTACGAGGATTTAATTCGAAATCAAGGACTTCTTTTCTCAGACCAAGTATTGATGGGATCTACCGCGACTAGTGATGTTGTTCGGACCTATAATAGTAACCCTACTCTATTTTTACGCGAATTCAACGATGCCATGATAAAGATGGGGAACTTGCCCCCATCTCGTGGCGTTCAATTGGAAATTCGCGATGTTTGTAGCAAGGTGAATAGTAATTCTATCGCGGACATGTAAAATAACAAGAAAAAAATATTTAAATGTTTCGAATTTCGTGTTCCAAAATAAACAAATGTATGGGTGATT